TTTCACACGGACAAATTAGGTTTGCTTTGACCTTGCCATCTCTTCAAACAAGGGATGGAGACAATTTTTCAGGCTTTATTGTCATGCCTTCCCCTCTTTCTTGGCTCAGAGCACCAGCGATATTGCTGAGCTTCCTAATATTGAACTCTTGTCAGGAAAATATGTATGTGTGTGTGTATATATAGGAAGAGAGATAGGTACATATCTTAGTTTCTTTTGATGCAAAGAAAAACCTTTTACTGAAAGCTTAAAGTTTAATTCTAGAGGGAATCTTTGCCATTTGAGCTTTTCGAGGCCTGTACGTGCCCTCTGACCCTTCACAGTGGAAAGGGCAGTCGAGCGGGGCTCCGTTTTGTCGTCTTAGAGATGCTTGAGCTATGACAGTCTTCAAGTTAAAAGCTGAAAGCCGCATGCATGCGTAGGAGGGTTGCGTGCCTATTTAAGACGCTCTGACTTCACGCGGCAGAGGACTTCAAGGCAGAACCGCTGATGTGAGCTGTTTGGATGAGTCCATGTGCTCTGCAGCTAAAAAAAAGTTATTTTAATGTCCATAAGGACCTTTGAGGCTCCACGTAATTTTTTTTATGATCACAAGTTCTCGTGAATAGCTCCATTTCCAGGCAAAGCATTTTTCTAAGCAAAACTTCCCTGTGCTTGGACAGTGGGAACGCAAAGGGCACCTCCTAAGGGAAGGACGAGATGGTACCACAACCCGTCGGACAGCCTGAATGGCTGCTTCCAGCTATTAGAAAAGCATCTAGCAAGTGTTCTTGCACATACAGAAAGCAAAGCACATGAGATACCTATAGACATCAAACATTTATAAGGCTGTCAAAGTACCGGTCAGGTCTGAAGACGTTGCAGGGGCACAGACACCATGCACGGACCATAATGGGAGCTTCTCCTTTAAGGAGCTGCCTTAAAAACAGAGCAGCAAATCACAGCTGCAGCTACAGCCCACAAACAAAAACCTGAGCCTGCTGTAAAGGCTGCCCGAGCGCAAAGCCTGCCCCGCTCAGCCTCCTGACAGCACAAACAGCTAGTAACATTAGGTGAATTTCCCTGAAACGCCGTTTCTCACCGTACACAGTCAAACGCGATCTATCCTTGCACTTCCAACGCACAACGGGAATCGAGGCACTTAACGTATTCCTCTGATCCACAGTGGCCGACTGAAAAACAGCAGAAACAGCTGGCTGATGCACGGCACACATCAAGGACAGGAGAGAGTCCTCCCCGTATCTCTACTCACGTTCAGACCCGCAGCTGCCTTACGTTCTCCCGGTATCCAGCTTGCTTCTCCTCTCGTGCCCTACCAGCTACGTGTCTCCTGACCTGGCACGCTGTATACCTTTGGCGTACGAAAGGCCTGAGAGTCACTGGCCAGACAAGCAGCGGAGCCTCCCTGCTCCCTCCTGACCTTTGATAGGAGGGGACTCTGCTACTCCACAAGGCTCCTGCACGCGCGTTCTCTTCACGGTCTCTTGGAGAGGGAAGCGCTGTACGAACGGCTCGGATGACTTCCCTTATGCTGTATTTTTTATGGTTTCACATTCCTTGGTACGTATGTTTGTTTTGCACGGTTGTCTGGAACACCGGCTGCAATAGCGAGCTTATTAACAGAGCTTAATCACAGCGCAATCTCTTCCTTGTTTTATCCGAAGCACAGTTATTCCGAGGAGGACTTGCCAATGATCACACCCAAGTGCTTCGCCCAGAATTGCTCTGCCTTCCTTTCCCTTCTCGTATGGAAATCTTTATCTCGTTAACGTTTTCAACAACAGAAACTCCTCCGCCAAGCGAACCCACGCTAACTTGGTGCGACCTCGTCCACAGTAGGGGC